AAACTATTGATAAATAAAGCAACTTCAGCCAGGCATGGTGGCTCATGCCTGTCAATAAAGCAACTTAAGGTGGACATGGTGGCTCATGCCTGTAATGCCAGCATTTTGGGAGACTGAGATGGGTGGATCACTTGAGGCTAGGAGTTCGCGACCAGCCTGGCCAACGTGGTGAATCCCTTTCTCTACTAAAAACTACCAAAAAGTTAGCTGGGCATGGTGGTGTATGCCTGTAATCTCAGATACTGGGGAGGCTGAGGAATGAAAACAGTTGGAACCTAGAAGACGGAGGCTGCAGTGAGCTGAGATCACATCACTGCACTGCAGCCTGAGGGACAGAGTAGGACTTTCTATCAATCAATCAATCAATCAATCAAATAAAACAACTTGGATGAATTGCAGAGTGCTTATACTGAACTAAAGACCTCAGACTCAAAAAAGCTTACATACCTGGACTCCTACTCAATAATAATAATAATAAAAACAAAACTATGATGCAACCAGCCACCTGGATGAACATCTAGAAAACGATGCTCAATGGAAAAAAGCCAGTCTCCTGAGGTCACATGCTATATGATCCCATCCACAGAACATTCTTGAAATGACAGAATTACAGAAGTGGAGACCAAATTAGTAGCAGGGTTTATGGAGAGATTTGGAAGTGTGGGAAGTGGGTGTTGCTGTGAAAGTGCAAATGAGAGATCTTTGTGAGAAAAATTACTGTGTGTGCGTGTGCGTGTGTGCCTGTGTGTGTGTGTGCGTGTGCGTGTGCGTGTGTGTGTGTGGGGTGTAAATGACCAAATTTTGCTACTTAGCATCTCCATTATACAGGTATTATTTCTCTATGGTGCAAACATTCAAAATCCTCCATTCTAGCTTTTTTGGATTGAAAAATTGTTAACCAGAGTCACCCAGCTGTGAAATACAATACTATAGTTTATTTCTCCTATTTAAGTTTAACCCTTGTCTATAACCATTATTCCCATCCTGACACTTTCTCAAGGCCTGTGGTAAC